GGTCTTTATTTCCTATTCGTTGTAAAATTTTAATCAATTGCTTATCAAAGTTGTCTCCAAAATTTAAAGACAATGTAGCAACTTTATTTTGTAAACCTAGACTTTGTATTATTAAATATGAAACAACCACTGATTTTTTTGCCACGAAAAATCTATGTTTTCAAGAAGAAGTTTTTAAACTTAAGGTAAGAGGTGAATACAAAGCATTTAACAACAAATTAGCTAACCACAAATATGTGTCAATGTTTATATGAAAAAAAAAAACATTCGAAGATTAATTGAAATGACATTTGATTATTCTGACTGAGAACACAAGTAAACATTTTGATTCAGTATCAGATTTGGACCAAACAGAATCGGTGATTTTAAGAACTGAGGGGGGGGGGATTACTGCATACTGTAATATATTTTACTTTCGCTTGGAATTAATTTTCGCTATTTTAGCTGAAGGAATAATCCATTGAAAATATAATCCAGCAATATACCTTTTTTCCCATTCCATTCATTTTATATTCAACTTGTCAAAATTCAGTGAAACTAAATTTCATACAAAACGCCCAAAAAGTCTTTTCAGCCAAAATTAATTCCAGCTAATATAAAGTATTTTACAGTACCGGTAATGCCTGAATCTTACTATTCAAAGATGGTTCTGTGAAAGACAGGTCTAAGGAATAGCAGCCTAATCTCTATAATAATGGCCAACAAAAAAACACTTACCTTTCTGAAGGACACTACATAGAAAGTGTCATCTCTTCTGTTTAATGCTTCTAAGAAATTAGTATAAGTTCTCTCAAATAATGAATCAAAGACTTGTAATGATGTTTCATCTACGTATCTATCTGGCTCCGGCAATGGGGGGTTTGATAGTCTGGATTGGGATTTCACAGGCTTTGATTTTTGTCTCTTTTTGAACAACTGAAATGAGATGAGATGAATTTGACTTATGAGCTGACACATGGAAACAGTTCTAATTCCAGAGAGAACAATTTCATATGGCAAAGGAGTCATGGGTACTGAGAACATCTATAAATGCTGAAAATTATTTGCAGCAAAAATGTAAAGGTTATCAAGAATGATATGAATACGCAACTTAGAAAAATCCATGTGTGCATCAAACTAACGTTTAATTATTACCTTTCCTCTAATCTCATCCTTTTTATCTTGTTGTAACTTCTCTTGTTGCTTCGCTTCATGGCCATGCACCCATCCTGTCAGTTCATCGACCAATCTGTATGAAATGAATAGCACATGCAAAGTCAATGAAGTAAAACAGCCCATATGAATATAAAGTCATTGACATTAATACCACAGTTACTATGTATGCTGCAATATGCAACATTTGGCCACCAATCTGTTGAAGTTACTGTAGAACACTTTATTTTTGCTTGGAATTTATTTTCGCTGAAGGGATACTTCAGTGAAAATAAAATCCACCGAATATAATTTTTTTCCTATTTTTCACATTCAACTCATTAAAAATCAGTGAAAATAAATACAAAACACTTTAAAAAAAGTTTTTTCAGCAAAAATTAATTCCAGCTAAAATAAAGTAGTTTACAGTATATTGCAGGCAACCAACATGTTACTGAAAGTGCTTTAAATTTCAATCCAAGAACATACAATTATAAATTCAATACAGGGTCTATTTGATGGAAAGGGATGAAAGAAACACCAAAAGACATTTAATGCTCTTTGCCAACATGTACAATATCAAAAATGATTCTAAGAACACCATGAAAGACATTTGTCATCTAAGTATAAATATAACGTACCTGGATGTATCCGTCGTGTTAAACATAGGACACAGTTCCAATTTATTAGTGACCCCAAGAGATGGTTGATCCTTTAAAACCATCAGGTCTTTCCTGTCTATGTCAAAATAACTACCATTGTCGTTTGTCAATTCCGGAATGAACCTGATGATGTCTCCAATAACTGTGTTGTTTTTCACTAAGATGTTATGAACTACATCATCGTCAAATGAAAGCAGTGCTCTTCCATGTTGACTTGATGTGAGGTACTCTGATGTATTTTCAATGCTTGAACTAAGTAAACTGTAAACAAGGAAACTAATAATTAATCTTAGCACAGGAAAGAACATGATTTAAATATTTTAACAAATCATCAGCTAGATGTTATTTTCACTTATTTTTCTGACAGCTAAATCATCATAATGCACTAAATTGAAACCAACAGAATGTATTGTTATTATCAGGCAACTGAAAATCCATTAAAATAGACCCCTGTGAATAATTCTCCTACAGTAACAAATTTGAACTTATTAACTGATTTTAATATTAAAACTAGTTAGATGATGCAGATATTGTGAATAATAAATGGGGTTCTAGGCAGGGATCAGGGTAGCTTTCATGATTTTGTTTTCACATTATTCAAATGGAAGACTCCTTGTAGAATAATTCAATTCTCGGTTCTGGGATTGCAATAAGGCAAGCTAAATAGGTCGTTTTGTTTCATAAAACCCCTTTTAATTTTAAAATGTATGTATATTTCGTAAATAACTTACTTACTTACTTACGATCTTTAAGGCAGTGAGTCACAATGACTTTTACAAAAATGGATAGCAGCAAAAATAAAATTGTTCACGTGTACTGACAACTAGACTGAAACTTACCTAAAGGGGGCAATATTAACCGCCATAAAAAACAATACTGCAAGTAAACATGCTGCTTTTTTGTTGGTTTGAGCAAGAGGTGATTGTGACTTCCTAAGTTTTTCATTCTGAAACACAAGAGAATAAATAAATACAATCAATAAATATGTATTGATTACATATACATAGTAACAATGTTTTGTGAATTTGTATAATAACACTCACTTCACTCTGTAGTGCAAGTATCCGCTTCCTCAAAAGTTCATTTTCTGTTCGAAGTTTTTCATTCTGTGATTCCGATTCGTGGAGTTGACCTTCTAAACCTTGGAGATACTAAAATAGATAGGGGAATTCCTTACTGAATGTGACTGTACAATATAGACATTGTAATACGACATGAATACCACTTCTTCTTTTCTTGTCTCAATGCCAAAAAGTATGCCAAGATTCAAATAAGACATTTACAAACCTCTTTTTTTTTTCGTCTTGATAAGCATGCTGACTCTCTGTTCTTTATCATTCTTTGCTGTCTTTTCCAAGCTTTTAACTGCAAGAAAACACATACTCAAGTTACATCGTTTCACTATCCAACTTTTCAAAACCAGTCCACTCGAAGGAGTCGGGCAGTCAACTTTTCTGAACTTATCAACAGTAGAGCAACAACAACTTTAGTAGGGTAACTTAAGTCTCATTCCTACTAATATGAGGAGAGTGAACTTGATAAATCAAAGAGTTTGCTGCTTTCCAACTAGAAAATATAATTTAAATATCATTACAGTACATAGACTGTCGAGCAAACAAGAACTGAAAAGAGAACACAGGAGTGAAGTCTTTGATTTAGCTTTCAAAAAAACCTCTATAGTGAAAAGTCCATCAGAATCCACTTACCGGAAGTACATCTCTCATCCTACCAACTTTCCCAAAAAACTACTATTTTCAACGTAAAATACATTTTTACATATTTTTTTCCTGACGAATCTTGAAAACAAATATCCATAGTGAATTAGACTTACATCAACGTTGTTTGGTGGTACGGTAGTAAGTGGAACACTAACACCATTACTTCCTGTACATAATTTACTTTGTTTCACTGGTGGTTGGTAATTGACAACATTTACATTTTGTGGCAGTGCGTTCACAGCATTCCCTTGGCTTACGATAATAGACTGTGATGACACTGTAACTGAATTGAAATAAAATATTCAAATGAACTGTGAAACCTGTATGAATGTAGACACTGATAAAAATAAATACACTCGGGTAGAAATCATAACAACATGCATTGTGGCTCTATTAGACCTGCTGCACAGCAAAGTAATGTATTTTTATCCCTTTTTGGTACAATTAAAAGTAATTATATATTAGATTGTTATTTACTGAGAACAAAGATTGAATAATAATGAAAGTGTGAGGGAATCACACTTTTACACTCAAGTAATTTCAATGTATTGGTCACTGGTAGCATAGTAGTTGTCGCATCAGACTCATGATCGGTAGTCCCAAGTTCAAATCCTACCTTGGGCTGAACATCAAAAGGGTTAACCCATACCCTGGGTGAGTGTGCCACAGACTCAATGGGAAGGCCAATTCCACTGGCCAAGTTTCATTCACTTTGGAGGAACCTTGGTTAAGGTCCGCAGGTGCTTGTGTTTGACCGGGCCTGGTTGACGCCAGGATAGCGCATTAAATTGATATTTGATAGAGAGATGGCTGCACAGCCCTGTCATGTAGTCCCAAACATGAATATGACTTCTGTGGCAAAATGCACTATATGTCAGCACTAGCACTTGCAATTTGCACATACAAAAAAAAGGAGAGACAACAGTGACATTCAATTGTTTTTGCATGCAAAGGTAGGCAGATTTGCTTATCACGCATACACTGATGCTCTATATTGATTGATGGATTGATTTATATTACCTGGTACTTGCTTCACTGTTATCGTCTGAGGCTGTGTTATTTGTATTACTCCATTTCTTGTGGGTACACCTGGTTCTAGTTTTGGCAATATAGGTGGTCGGCTTGTGACAGGTTTGGATAATACAGTAACACTATTTGGCACTGTGGTAGTGGTGGCTGTGATCAGTGATGTTGTAGATAATGGTGATATACACTGGTCTTCTCTTGGTGGTGTCATAGGGGGAGAATCTAACCCCATATCAAAGGGTTTACTAAATGCTTCAAACTCAGTGGATTGCAAGTTGAAAGAAGGCAAGTCACTGGATAAGTCAGAGCAGGAGGAACTTGATGGAGATAATGGTTCATTTTTTATCATCACACCTAAAATTATCAAAACAGAGAAAATCACAAACTGTTTGCAGACATCACTGTGCTAAAAGTAGAATATGATAACAAAAATCCACAAGATGTACAACATATCAAACTTTTTAAACATATTAAATTTTTTCCACCATCTGATTAAATTGTAATTAACAATTACAGCAAAAACAAAATTTTAACTTTTCTTTTCATAACCACCTCCAAAAATAATCATTTTTTTAATGCTCAAACAAAGGAAGAATCATAGTAGTGGCACACAGATGGATGGATGGATGGATGATTGGAAGGATTGATGGACGAACGGACGGACAGATGGATGGATGGATGGATGGACAGATGGATTGAAGGAAAAATATACAGACAAATGACGAGTACTGAATGGGGCTGAAATGGAAGAGTGAAAATCAGTTTGATGCTATAAAATAATGTTATCACCATTTATCAAATCATCAGAGTAATTTGGGGATTCCCAGGGTTCTCCACTGAAATCAGTACCAGTACTGAAGGCATCATTGCTGCCAGTATCATAAAATGGACTACAATCATCAACAAGATTAGGAATCTGAGAAGGAAAAAAAAAAGACTCATTAATATTTAGACTGCCAGAAAAATGATAATAAACGTACATGGTTAATCTGAGAAGGAAAAAAAAAAAAGACTCATTAATATTTAGACTGCCAGAAAAATGATAATAAACGTACATGGTTAATCTGAGAAGGAAAAAAAAAGACTCGTTAATATTTAGACTGCCAGAAAAATGATAATAAACGTACATGGTTAACAAAGCATCTTAATACAAAGCTTTTGAAATGTCATTATGAGACAGCAATACAGTCAAAAGGGTCATTTGCAAATTTAATCAATATATCACATTTCAAATGAGTCCACTGCAATTTACTATTGAACTACGAAACAATATACTACATGTACATAAACGGTATTCACTATAATTATTTTTTATGACAAAACCTATATCTGGGAGTTAATATTGAAACTAACTAAAGTCTCAGTATGATGTTGTGCATGCGAGATTGCTTCTTTTAATTTATGACATACTTATTCAGCCAAGGAGTGCAGTAATTGTAAAAAATAATGACAAAATAAGAATAATATCTGTATTATATGAAAGGCCAAACATTCAGGAAAGAATATACTATTTTTCTCTGTTACTGGTAAATGAAAGCTGTGCATACAACATAATTTTGGAATTTAATTTCTACTATCTGATGGTTATTAAAATTAATATATCACGATTGAGTCATATTTGTGATTCATGTATATTACTAATAGTTTTTTTTTTTTTTACAATATTTTTAGTACCATACATGTGCAACATTTCCAGACAGTGACGTTTTTTGTCTTGGGTGCTAATTGCTCCAAAACGTAATGCTGCATTGTTTAAAAGGCAGGGCAGGTTGTACTCAAATTCATATTGTTGAGTGAACAGTCTGCTAAGGGAACCAGACCCAGTACCTCCCCTGAAGCAAGGTGAACATGTTAACCCCTTTACCATCACAAAGGCACATGTATCTTAGATATACATTTCATACCCGATATCTCAGTAAGACAAACACAGAAATATTTTCATTATTATATACAAAAGATTATGTTTATCACCATATACTTTTTGAGGGTTGGTACCAAAAAACACAAAAACTAGGCATATGCAAAATTACAAACAGGACGTGGCTAGAAAACCAATAAAAAACAAACAGATGGATTGCACCTTATGAAGTAAATGCAGACCATGTGATAGCCATATATTTTCAGTATACAGATGGCTTAATACTACAATATGTAGTGTTGTATTTCACTTTCACAAATACATCATATTCAAATAAATATGGAAAAAATGGTTAAAAAAAGTAATGTGGTGATTAATTTCAATGTAGATTTATTTTAATAATACATACCGGTATTACCCAGCATAATTAAGTCTAAGTCTGCAAACTACAATGCAATACCTGTATTGTACTAGAAATATTAAATAATTTACATAAATAGGTTTTTTTCACTGGGAGGTAAATGACACAGACAACTTGCATATTTATTAGACTTGACAACACTGTCACATTTCCACCCCACTTAATTCCAACCCGTAGCACTAAAGAGAAACCAGAACCTCAACATGTACCTACAGTAAACCTCTAATTCTAATATTGGTATACTCACTAATCAATATAATTGATTGAGGTGAAATTAAAACCAATTGTTTCATTGTAAAGTCTGTGATTTGAAACCCAGTAATAGTAACAGTGCAATTAAATCTCAAAAGGGACAAATTTCCGTGAATTTTGTGATTATTGCGAGTCAATGAAAATCATGACATTTTGTAGCAGTAGCGGTAACATTTTTCTGGGGTGCTACGACACTAAGCGTCAAAATTTTGCAGTTTACACTTGTTATGCAATACATTGTAAACTGCAGTCAAAGTGAGCAAACACCTGTTGAATAGAAGTATAAGGTCATACCTGTATATCTGGTATTTCTTTTAACAATTCCTCTCCAGTAAGATTGCCTAGATGTTTCACATCTGCCCCTAGTAGAGTAGAAATATGACAATGATTAAATACAGACAAGCAATAAGAATGGAATATTATGATGAAACCTGTCTACTTGAGCCTTTCAACACAGCTTAAATATTGAATGTTTGAACTTTTGAAGATGATATCAGCAAGACAAAATAAATCAATTACATGTACTGTAAAATCTGTATCAGAAGCTGCGGCTTCTATTAAAATGGTACAATGCAACAGAGAGGATGCAGCTTCTATTAGAGCATCTACACATATGTGACAATGAATTTTTGGTTCTCAATTGTTTAAAAAGAATAGGTGCGACTTCTATTAGAGTTTTACAGTATTGTGTATACCATACATGTAATACGCAAATTATCCATTACATGTGAACATTTTGCTGGGCAAAACATGTAGTTCTCAATGTGAGTGAAAATACATAATACCCACTACCGGTACTGTATTTCAAATACATATAGAAAGGCATACAATGTATAAACCGAAAATTGCATTTGTTGTGTATACTGAATCATTAAAATATTACTTTCCTTGACCATAGAAATCTCTGTAATTTACATGAGCATATGTGCTACTACCGGTAATTGAGCAGAAAACAGAATGTATTTTTTTTTGTCAGACATCCATACATATTATGTACATGTATGTGTAACCAAGTTGCAAGGGAATATACATTGTAAACATACAAGTTTTTTAGTCTGTTTCAATTCAATCCATAAACCACCACCCTTCGACACATTGTCATAATAATTTATTGCATCCTTAGAATTGGTTGGCAGCAATAAAATGTTAGTAATAAAATACAAATCATATAATACTAAATTAAGTAAAATGTCAGTCCTTCATATTTTTGATATTAATGATGTCGCATAAATATTAACCAGCTTGGCTTGTTATTTGGTCTTTTCTTTGGTATTACAATATATTTAAATACCTGATTATCACTTTTTAATTCTTCTGGAATATTAATATTACTGGGGTACTGAATAATTTTTGTCAGTCTGTTTGTCACATGTAACTACTTTCGAGACATTCCTCGTAGATACGCTCTTCATTTTTAATTTTGTTTTGGCAATATTGCATACAGATTCTGTTTTTTTCTTTATTTTTAATTTTGTTTTGGCAATATTTGCATACAGAATCTGTTTTTTCTTTATTTTCAATTTTGTTTTGGCAATATTTGCATACAGATTCTGTTTTTACATGAATTCAGGGCAAAGTCACCAACCAACATGTATTTCAACAAAACATAGTGCAGTAGAAAATAACACAAGAACAAATATCAGCACATCATGAATATTGTATATACATGTACAAGTTGTAATTTTATAATGATGAAAATAGAGGCTTCATTTATGTTTTACTAGTATGTCAGGTTTCTCCCAAGAGAATAATTTTAGATCAACAACAGAGCTTAATTATCACGAATACAATTGAAGTGATTAATGTGTACTCTAATTGTTATGTAAATTAGCAATAACTGTGCCATTTGGGAGGGGAGATAGTGTCTACATGCTGTATAATGCAAATAAACTGACTTGCTCGTACAAACTTATAACTCAAATGATGATATAATATAGACCCAATGCAAGTTCCAAGGCAGTGCTCTCCCCAGAAATTTAGAATAGAATGGCTAATTTACATAATATGATATATTAATTACCCTCCATTGTATTCATTGTTATGCTAAAATGGCTCCCCTGAAGCAAGTTGGGAATCCCTACTGTATAATACCCTGGGGGGAACCCTGCAAGGGCATATGATACTGTAAAATGAATAATTTTCACAGGGTTTAAATTTCACTTATTTGCCATTTCAGGCATATTCAGTGGGTTTTAAATTCACTGGTCTCACATTTAGATAATGTGTTCTATGCTAAATTTGACATATTCACTGGGTTTTAATTTAGCGCATTTTCCAGCCAGCGAAATAAGCAAAATTAAAACCCAGTGAATAATTAACCCCTTCACAGTATTCTTTTAAATATTCATGTCTGACTTATATGCAAACTCGTTTATGGTTGGTTCAAAAAACACACATTGGATAAATACATGTAAGCCTACCATTCACAGTTTAAGCCTGAAATATCACTGCTGATACAACATGTATATGTACATATAAGGTACTGTTAAATTCATCATTTTGTTATGAAACTGGGTTGTCTACGCATGCATGATGTGTGGCAGGTGTCGCCCGTTGACACCTATATGGAAAACTGTGGCACTCACAGCCTGGCCATTCAGAACGAGTGAAGGTATTAAATTGCAACAATGTATTATTTAATATATTGATCACGACCCATATGAACATTATTTCAAAAAGCATGTATTGTCCAATCAGGTCAGGCATGCGAGTCACGCAGTATCCGATCGGGTCATGCAAGTGTTCTTATAAATATACTTGTCTTCACTCTTGGAAACACTCTAGCTAGAAATATGCTACTCCTGTATCTGTCTTGAATATGCACTGTTGTATCATTGGGCCAATTGGCTTCTAAAGTGGAAGTACTGTAAAACATGTTGAAAAAGCGGCATGCAATTTCAGCGAATTGTGGTAAAATGACGTAATAGCAAAATGCTGATTTAGCAAATCTCTCTTGTCATTGTTTAGCGGCCATTTTGAATTGATAATAAAGTCATTAGCGACATCTTGAATTAGCAAATCAGTTCTCTCGCTAAATTCGCGAAAAAGACATGTTTTACAGTATACTATATACTATGTAATCCAATGTCATCAAAGAACTACAATTACCACCTTTTTATCGTTAGTCATTGACAATTTTATGCATATTTCAACAGTTATTTTGTGTATGGACAGTATTATCCACTTCCCTCTTCCGGGAATATCCCATTATGGTAAATTAAGTTTTGATTACTAGTAATTGTCCGATAAGATGGATGTTAACCAAGGTAGTAAAAAATACTAGTTCATGGCTATATGTCTATGTTCCACTTTCAACTACCATAGTCAACCAAGTAATTTCAAACAGATTTCCAATTCTTCCAATTCCTCATTCATTTTAGGCCATCAGAATTATTCGACTTGTATTCATACAATCTAAAAATGATTACAATGCTCTGATCCACCCCTCACAAATATACTGTGCATATATTAAATGTATAATTAATTTATATATACATGTATATACATCTCCTTGTCATATTCTTCATTAATTAAAGCTCTGAGTAACATTTTCAGAGATTGTAATTGTAATTGTAATGTTGTTGAAAAAATTATGCAACCCACACAATGACATGAAAAATTGGAAGAATTACATATCTGTTAAAAACATCGCCCGGTGAGCTCACCACCCCTTCCAATCAAATAAACTATTTTGTCAAGCTCTATCCAAATGTAGCCAAAGCAGACATGGTAACAATAGAATGAACCTTGTTTTCAATTAGTCCTTTTATTGTTACATGGTGTACAAGGTGTAAATGTTCTATCGCCTCTTTAAATTCCCATGAAAAAAATTTAACAAGAAACGAAAGTGATATTTTCATACCATGATTGATTATTGCAGTGTCGCGAGTGAAAATATACTTTACAAAAGTTAAAGCTTTGTTATTGCTGATTACTCAGTGTATACGCTTACCTATGATTGTCAACAAATTATCAACATGTGCTGTAAAGCAGTATAAAACAAAATAGTTGGCAAAATTATCATTGTACAAAGAACTTAGTTTTGATAACTGTACTTACAATATATGTATGAACTCTAAATATAAGGTTACACAATGACCTTATTAACATTACAAGTAGATGATGGTCACAGCTTGGCAATAAATTATCAGTTAAACAAAGACTTTTAATTACAAAGGAAAACTCAATA